TCAACACGGTGAAACCCCGTCTCTACTAAAAATACAAAAAATTAGCTGGGCATGGTGACGCGTGCCTGTAATCCCAGCTACTCGGGAGGCTGAGGCAGGAGAATTGCCTGAACCCAGGGGGCGGAGGTTGCGGTGAGCCGAGATCGCGCCATTGCACTCCAGCCTGGGTAACAAGAGCGAAACTCCGTCCCCCCGCCCCCCCCCAAAAAAAAAAAAAAGAGAAAAGCAGAAATACTTCTCTCAGCTTTAAGACTTAAATATGCAGAGTAAAGTTTTTGAAGTGATTGCTGAATAAATAGAAATATATGACTCCCAAAATAGAAGAGGCTAAACATTGTTCAAACTAATGAATCTTCGGGTGATTATTTGTTGAACTTGTAAGACATTGATTGTTAAAAGGTGCCTTCCCTTTACTGAGAAATCAAGGCTGTCTCCTTCCACAAATTAAATGAGATGATTCACGTAAGTGCAGAACATGATGGTCAGGAACATAATCATAGCTCAAGATTTGTTCATTCTTCTCCTGCCCTTTCCCAAAAGGACCTACATGTTCTAATCAAATACACACACACACACACACACACACACACACACACACACGGCCTTATTGAAACAGAAATCACAAATCATACAATTCACCTATTTAAAGTGTACAATTCAGCTGGTTGTGGCGGCTCATGCCTGTAATCCTAACACTTTGGGAGGCCAAGCAGGCAGATCTGTGGTCAGGAGTTCGAGACCACCCTGGTCAACATGGTAAATCCCCATCTTTACTAAAAATACAAAAGTTAGCTGGTGTGGTGGTAATTTCAGCTACATGGGAGGCTGAGGCAGAGGACTGCTTGAACCCAGGAGGTAAAGGTTGCAGTGAGCTCCAGCTTTTTGGGGCTGCTGCAGCTTGGCCACTAGAGCCTAGCAGACCCCTAGCTGCTCTTACACTGCATGCCTGTGTCAGAGTACTCCTTTTTTTTTTTTTTTTTTTTTTTGAGACGGAGTTTCGCTCTTGTTAACCAGGCTGGAGTGCAATGGCGCGATCTCGGCTCACCACAACCTCCGCCTCCCGGGTTCAAGCAATTCTCCTGCCTCAGCCTCCTGAGTAGCTGGGACAACAGGTGTGGGCCACCATGCCCAGCTCATTTTTGTATTTTTAGTAGAGCCGGGGTTTCACCATGTTGACCAGGATGGTCTTGATCTCTTGACCTTGTGATCCACCTGCCTTGGCCTCCCAAAGTGCTGGGATTATAGGCGTGAGCCACCGCGCCCGGCCCAGAGTACTCCTTTCATCCATTGCTTGGCCCAGGGTCTGCAGGATGGACCTGGAAGCCTAGCAGTATTAAGTCTTTTGATCCACGAACATGAGATATCTTTCCAGCTCTTTAAGCATTTTTTTTTTAAGCAATGTTTGGTGTTTTCAGAGCATACATTTTGTATTACTTTTGTCAAATTTATTCCTAAATATGTAATTCTTTTTCTAATATTGTGGATGGAATGTTTCCTAATTTTATTTTGGACTGTTCGCTACAGGGGTATAGAAATACAACTGATATTTCTATATTGATCTTGAATCCTGCAACCTTGCTGAACTAATTTCTTAGCTCTAATAGTTTTTCCTTAGGATCTTCTGTATACAAAAGTCACGTCAACTGCAAATATAGTTTTATTTTTTTCCTTCCCAATCTGGATGCCTAATTTCATGTTCTTGCCTAATTGGCCTGGCTAAAGCCTCCAGAACAGTGTTGAATAAAAACAGCCAGAGTGAACATCCTTGTCTTATTCTGATTTTAGGGAGAAAATATTCAGTCTTTTACCATTAAGTATGTTAGCTTTGCAATTTTTCATTGATTCCCTTTAATAAGCCTGGGAAGTTTCCTTCTACTCCCTGAGCCACAGTCTCCTCATCTGCAATGGGGATGATGAACATATCCATAATGAACACTGGATGGCCCCTCCCATGGCTCAAGTTCTAAGTGAAACACTATGATGTCTTCCACTCATTTAATCCTCCCAAGACCAATAAAGTTAAGTACTATTATCATCCCCATTGGACAGAGAGGAAAACAGATTCAAAGAGGATAAGTAACCAAACCACAGAACAAGTAGGTGGTGGGGCTGAGCAGCCCTGGATGTCTAACTCCATGGTTTGAGAACAATAAGCATGTGATGATAACACTTCACAGGTTTATCCAGAAAACTTGAGAGCATAAAGCACCTAACGTAGGGCAGTGCTCAGGAAGCTCCCTATCCGCCCCCCCACCCCCGATTACGACATGGGCTCATGGGAGCACGAACAGCAAGCTCCAAGACTAGCCAGAGCAAAGGGGTGTAGGGCACAAAAGCAGCTCTGATCTCACCAAGTTGTCTGGGGCTCTTAGCAGCCCAGGGCACTTCTCTTGCAAAGTAGCCTGACATTTTCTGTGGGCTATGACAAGTTACAGGAGGGAAGTTGCTCTCTGACCCTTTGAAACTTCCTTCCTTTCTTGGTCTTTGCTTTTTTTTTTTTCCCCACCGTTCTCTTATGTGAATGAATTGAACCAAAGGTCTCTGCATTTTCTATGTTCCACTTCTGCTGCTGCGGCGTCTATCAGGCATAGGCTCTGCTTAATCTTGGTGAGACTGCCCTGGGTGCATGCTGGCTGGACAGCTGGACTTCTCAGGCCCCCTCTCTACCCCAGCATGCTCCCAATGCACCCAGTTCCCTGCAGCTCCTCCCAACAGGTCATCTCCTGCAGGGTGCCCTCCATATCCGCTCACCCTGGGGGGCTCAACCATGCCCTATACCCATCAAGCCTGTCTCTCCAGCTTAGATCTCTCTCCTGGGCTCCAGGTCATTCCATCCAAATGCCTGTGGGGCAGGTCTACCTCCAGCCACCAGACGCCAAGAACACTCATCTTCTTTTCCCTAAAACTTGCTTCTCCGCTGGGTGTGGTGGCTCACGCCTATAATCCCAGCATTTTGGGAGGCTGAGGTGGGTGGATCACCTGAGGTTGGAAGTTTGAGACCAGCCTGACCAACATAGAGAAACCCTGTCTCTACTAAAATTACAAAATTAGCCAAGTGTGGTGGCACATGCCTGTAATCCCAGCTGCTCGGGAGGCTGAGGCAGGAGAATCGCTTGAACCCGGGAGGCGGAGGTTGTGGTGAGCCAAGATTCCTTCAACTAGAGTAACAAGGGCAGCAGCAGCTAATATGTATTGCATGCTTAAGACTGCCAAGCACAGTTCTAAAGCAGTCTGCATGCATTAACCCATTTATTTACTATGCTAAGCTTATAAGGCAAGTGCTATCGTATTTACATTTATTAACAAGGTAAGCAAAGCACTGAGAAACAGCTTGTCAACAGCAGCACAGCCATGACTGGTAGAGCCAGGATACAAACCCAGGCAGTTTGCTTCCAAAGCCCAGGCCCCACTGCTGCCTTTTATTATTTATTTATTTATTTATTTTTTGAGACAGGGTCTCACTCTGTTGCTCAGGCTAGGATGCAGTGGTATTATAATCATGGCTTACTGCAGCCTTGACTTCCTGGGCTTAAGTGATCCCCCTACCTCAGCCTCTCAGGTAGCTGGAATCATAGGCACATGCCACTATGCTTGACTAACTTCTTATTTTACTTTTTGTGGTGGCAGGGTCTCACCATGTTACCCAGGCTGGTTTTGAACTCCTGGCCTAAAGTGATCCTCCTATCTTGACCTCCCAAAGTGTTGGGATTACAAGCATGAATCACCACAGCTGGTCCATACTGCTACCTTCTTAGAAATTATCTAAACCAAACCCTGACAATAGTAAGGGGTGGGTGGGTGTGTGGGTGTGTGTGTGTGTGTGTGTGTGTGTGTGTGTGTGTGTGTGTGCGTGCGTGTACATATATATATATACACACACATATATATTATTTAAAAAAGTAGTTGAGATATGATTGACACAACAAATTGCACATGTTAAAAATGAATAATTTGATGCTTTTGACATGTATAGACATTTGTGAAACCATCACTATACACATTCAATATGATCTCAATTATGTAATATGTATATAGAAAATGTAGTGGTAAGAGATATACCAAATGCTAAGAATATTTGTCTGGGTGATGGGATTATGGATAATTTTGAAAATACTTTATTGGCCAGTCTCAGTGACTCATGCCTGTAATCCCAGCACTTTGGGAGGCCAAGGCAGGTGGATCACCTGAGGTCAGGAGTTTGAGACCAGCCTGGCCAAGATGGTGAAACCCCGTCTCTACTAAAAATACAAAAATTAGTGGGTGTGGCAGTCACCTGTAATCACAGCTATTTGGGAGGCTGAGGCAGGAGAATTGCTTGAACCTGAGAGGCTGAGGTTGCAGTGAGCCAAGATTGCCCCATTGCACTCTAATCTGGGAGACAAGAACGAAACTGTCTCCAAAAAAAAAAAAAACTTTATTTATAACCAAGTGATCCTCCCGCTTCGGCCTTCCTAGTAGCTGGGACTGTGAGCCACCTCATCTAGTGGGTAATTTTTTATACCTTTCCAGATGTTTCTGATTTCCTACAATGAATGTATGCTACTTTTCCAATCAGAACAATGAAGGTATTTTTTTTTTTTTGAGATGGAGTCTCACTGTTGTCACCCAGGCTGGAGTGCAGTGGCACAATCTTGGCTCACTGCAACCTCTGCCTCCTGGGTTCAAGCGATTCTCCTGCCTCAACCTCCCAAATAGCTGGGATTACAGGCGCCCACCACCATGCTGGGCTAACTTTTGTATTTTTTGTAGAGATGGGGTTTCGCCACAGTGGCCAGGCTGGTCTCGAACTCCTGACCTTCGGTGATCTGCCAGCCTTAGCCTCCCAAAGTGATGGGATTACATCACTTTGGGCATGAGCCACCACACCTGGCCAGATGTAATACTTTAAAGTGATGATGTAATTAATTGAAAATAAAGCTCATAACCCTCTCCCCAGGCCCACTTCCCTGCAGGGGAATCATAGCGGGTAAAGCTTCACTGAATGGGCTGCCTGCACTTACTGTATTTCTGTTCCCAGGTGCTTGAGGGAAATATTCTGAAGGGCAGGGAAAGGCTGCAAGGCAGCTGCCTCGCCCACCAGCCCAGTGGGTGTTTTCACAGGGCACAGGAACTCTTCCACCTCTGCCTCTTCTTGCCCTGGGAAGAAAGAAAAGGGAAATCAATCAGCCAGGGGCACTGCCCTTGGAAAGGCTTGTCAGGCGGGATGCTATGGATGCAGCCCTGACTAGGAACGGGCTGGAGCTGGAGAGTTGCAGGGGGAAGGTAGGTTGACAGCAGCAAAAGAGGCTTTTCACAAAATGCTCTGCAGCCAGTAAAATGATGCATTTTGTTGGTATAGCCCTCCTGCAAACCCTTTAAAAATATGCAGACCTACAGTTAATTCTGCATCTGAGCGTGCATCCTAAAGATGGAAATGCAGACAAAACTTTATGTGCCAAGAGGTTCATTCCAGCATTGTCACATAAGCCTCAAGTTGGAAAAGATCTAGAAACCTGGAATAGGTTAAGTATATCAGAATGTAGAATATTAATCATTTAAAATGATGTGAGTAAATACTCATACACAGGGAAACCTGTATGGAATATATTATTAAGTGGGAAAAGCCAGATTAAAAAAAAAATTGGAGGGCTGGGTGCTGTGGCTTACACCTGTAATCCCACCACTTTGGGAGGCCGAAAGGGGGGGGTCACTTGAGCTGAAAGTTCGAGACCAACCCGGGCAACATGGCAAAACCCTATCTCTACAAAAAACAGAAAAATTAGCCGGGTGTGGTGGTTCGTGCCTGTAGTCCCCGCTACTCTGGAGACTGAAGTGGGTGGATCGATCGCTTGAGCCCAGGAGGTAGAGGATGCAGTGAGCTGAGTTGGCACCACTGCACTCTAGCCTGGGCAACAGAGCAAGACCCTGTCTCAAAAAACAACAACAACAACAACAATTGGGGTTATAATATTATCTCAATTGTACAGAAAAAGTTTCAGAGAAATATACTCCACAATCTTAACAGCGGTTTGAGCTGCATGATGGGATTTGAAGTGAGGCTCTTCTCATTGCTTTTTTACTTTTTCCAAAATTTTTGGAAAAAAATTACTTATAAATAGAAAAATGAATATTTGTCAAAAATAGATGTTTATAAAGAGATTTTAAAACACAGGCAAATATTAGGGTTACACTACTGAGTATCAAAAAGAATGAGTAGGACATTTTATAGTATTATATGATCTGAAACATGTTTAAATAAAAGGCAGGCAGGAGGCCGTAACATAAGGTCAACACTGGCTGCCTCTGGGTGACAGGATTATAGTTCTTTTTTTTTAGTCTTCCAAATGTGCTGTTTAAACAATGATTCTTCTACAGCGAGTGACTTCAAAATGTTTAATGCTAAGCAAGCTTTCAAGGCTAAGGAAATTATCTGAAGTATAAGAGAGGAGGTGAAATATTTAGAAATTAACTTTGAGTGCTAGAACAGGGGAAAAGAGCCAGGACCACTTATGGGGTGGTATGAGCTTGATGAGACAGGCCCTGAGACTTTCCACTTGGAGCCCTCTTATTGGGAGACTGAAATATTTAGGAGTAGAGAATTGCTTTTGCACTATATCTGCAAAAAGGGTATAGGTATAAAAATATTAAATATAATGATGGGGGCTGGGGGAGCTGTTCAATCTACTCAAGAAACTTTACAATAATTCAAACAGCAACAGACAGTATATTTGTAAATTCCTAACAGGCTCCATCAGATCTGGCAGGATGGCCAGTACTCGCACTCTTCAAATCCACCTCTTTGAGGTCCTCTCTTCAATTAATCCTCTCACCAAATATGGATTGGGTGTTTACCCTGAGGCTTGCAAGTGGGGCTGGAGAAAGTGAGATTAATCAAAGCAGAAACTCCCAGCCTAAGGAGCCAGGAAGGAAGAAAGGCACACATGGGGAACCCCGGGTACTGGGGTAAGGGCTGCTCTGGAAGGTGGAGACAGAGTCTTTCCAATCCAGGTCAGGGAAAACTTCCTGGAGTAGGGGCACTGCAGCTGGGCCTTAAGGACTGGATTTGATTTGGACCTGCAGGAGGGCCAGGAAGGATCTTTCTGTGCAGAGCATACAGGCAACAGTAAGGGGCTTCAGACCCAGAGCTGAGTTTGCAGGAGGAAGGCAGGGGAGATGGGGTGGGGAAGGTCAAATAGCAGAGGGTGTGGGTAAGTGGCTGATGGTAAATTTCATCCCGATGGAAACCAGAGCCCCTGGGGGTTTGAGGCTGAAAAACTGAATCTGGCTTTGAGTGGAGGACCTGAAGCCGAGCCCTGTTTCTGGGGGGAGGGTGCAGTAACCTGTTTGCAAATCACTTTGAAAAAAAAAAAAAACAAGAGGCCGAGCGTCGTGGCTCATGCCTGTAATCCCAGCGCTTTGGGAGGCTGAGGCAGGCGGATCACCTGAGGTTGGGAGTTTGAGGCCAGCCTGACCAACATCGAGAAACTCTGTCTCTACTAAAAATACAAAATTAGCCAGGTGTGGTGGCAAGTGCCTGTAATCCTAGCTACTTGAGAGGCCAAAGCAGGAGAATTGCTTGATCCTGGGAGGGTGAGGTTGCAGTGAGCTGAGATTGCGGCACTGCATACCAGCCTGGGCAACAAGAGCAAAACTCCATCTCAACAACAACAAAAAAGAATAAAAGAAAAACAAGAATAATACTCTCTACCTTGTCTCCTTCAGAGTTAAAGTACACAAAAATGTTTAGAAAGCCATAAAGCCCCATATTATGGACTCACATCTTTCGAAGTAGCCTTTAGGCCAGACTCTAAGCTGATTCAAAATAAATAAAGTTTTTTTATTTATCAATACTTTAACCATCTTATTCTCTTTCAAAGCAAACCAAAAAAACTTAGTTTTTCTAAGATTTTGGTATCTTAGCAAGTACTTCCCTAACTGCTAATGTCTGTTTTCCTTTAAGAGCCACCTGTGGCCCCAGGTTAACTCTGAGACTACAAAGAGCCAAGTCCTGGGGTTTTTTGTTTGTTTGTTTGTTTTAAATCACTGTTGGGTTTTACCAATAAGGAAATAGCAACTCAGAGAGGGTGAGTTTTGTGGCCAAGGTCAAAGCTAGCAGGTGACACAGTTATAGACTCAAACGCAGTCCTCACTTTTGCTTTTCCCACTAAACTGTGTGGCTTATCAGAGCAGGCTTTCTAACAAGCAGATCATCTAAGACAGGAGGGGTTGCCCAGGAAGACACAAGCTCCCAGTGCAAAGGAATGTGCAAGGCACATGATGCCGATGCCACAACAGAGACCAGCACTTCCCGCAGGAGGCAGAATCGATGACCTGAGGCTCTGGTTGGGGGCATCCTGGAGAAATGCCCTCCATGAGTGATTGCAGAGAATTTTCAAAAGCATTTATTTGTAATTCTCCCATTGCATGAGCTCTGAGGGTTACCCCACCACCAGTGGGAAGAAGTCACTGCCTAGACAAAAACAGGGCCTGACCCAGGAGGTCACTGCCTCCCTAGAGGGCCCTGGACAGATGCCTGGCTGCCCCTCAGCTTCAGGAGGGCAGGTTATGAGTCAGAAGCCTAGGGTTTGAATTTCAGCACTGACATGTTCTTACTACATGACCTAGGACAGGTCTCTTGAACTCTTTGAGCCTTAGTTTCCTGGTCTATGAAATGGAAATAGTACCAATGACCCTATAAAATTGTTGTGAGGATTAAATAAGATGATGCATGTAAAATGCTGGGGCAACAGGCACATTTTATGAAGGTACACATTTATACAGGTCCTTTGTAAACTGTAGCTTACTGTGGCAACCTGCTATTCTTATTACTATAAATCTCTTGGGTTCTCTTTGATCTTTCTTGGCTCTGCAGAGACCATTGCTTAGGTTAAGAATAACATGAAGCTGCAAATGCTTAAAAGCAGGAGAGAACATGCCTTGCAGATGGCTCAAGAGCAATGACGAGACACTTTTTACCAGGAGTCTCTGACTCAAAGTCACACATGGGTCAGGAGGTTTTCAATGACCCAGAAGCGGGCCCTTGCTTCCTCAGGAAGGGTGGAGGCTGGCAAGGTGGGGCAGCCTGCTCCACATGGCTAATCCAGGCCTTGCTGACTTGCCCAAGACACCAGAAACGTCTTTCTGCGGGAGCTGGGAAGGTTTTGCCGTACCCTGGGTCTGGGAGGAGAGTGCAGGCTTGCTGCAAGGCAAGGAAAGGCTTCAAGAAGAGAAGCTCAGGTCCCCGCTTCCCGAGTGTTAGGCAGCGTCCTCCTCAGGAGATGGAGACCCAGGTCATCACAGCAACTCCATCCCTTTCTCCAATGCCCACAGCAGGGGCTGGCCTAGAAGAGGCCCACTGTGTGCAAGCAAAGCCATAGAATTAAAGAACCTGCCACAGGTTCACCACAGCAGAAGAGGGCTGAGGATCCCAGAGCCATGCTTTCACAATCTGCTGCTTCACATTTCAGTTCAAGACACACAGGAATTCTATTATTGCAAAGGTTTCTCCTGGTGTCTAGTCTGAGGCTGACCTTTGCAGCAGCATCAATTTAGGCCACAGTATTCTGCAAAGCCAGGACTGTCTGGCTCCCTGGCAGATGGGGGTGGGGGGTAGAATGCAGAAACAAGGATACCCTTCAAAAGAAATTCCAAAGAAATGACTAATGATTGGCCGGGCGCGGTGGCTTAAGCCTGTAATCCCAGCACTTTGGGAGGCCGAGGCGGGTGGATCACGAGGTCAAGAGATCGAGACCATCCTGGTCAACATGGTGAAACCCCGTCTCTACTAAAAATATAAAAAATTAGCTGGGCATGGTGGCACGTGCCTGTAATCCTAGCTACTTAGGAGGTTGAGGCAGGAGAATTGCCTGAACCCAGGAGGCGGAGGTTGCGGTGAGCCGAGATCGCGCCATTGCACTCCAGCCTGGGTAACAAGAGCGAAACTCTGTCTCAAAAAAAAAAAAAAAAAAAAGAAATGACTAATGATTATTAAGAATAAAAGGAACAGTTATTATAACAGTAATAGCACACATATATGTGTGTGCATATACTATTATGACAGTAACAGCATGGGTGTGTTGTATATACAGTCAAGTACACACAGAACAACAGTATTATTAGGATGACTCCCATGTATTGAGCACTTACTATGTGCTTGAAGTTATGCTAAGGGATTTACATTTCTTCTATTTATTTATTTATTTATTTTTTAAAGATGGGGTTTCACCATGATGGCCAGGCTGGTCTTGAACTCCTGACCTCAGGTGATCCACCCACCTCAGCCTCCCAAAGTGCTAGGATTACAGGCATGAGCCACCGCACCCAGCCCACTTTTTTTTTTTTTTTTTAAGATGGGGTTTCACCATGTTGGTCAGGCTGGTCTTGAACTCCCGACCTCAGGTGATCCGCCCGCCTTGGCCTCCAAAGTGCTTGGATTACAGGTGTGAGCTACCGCGCCCGGCCTGGGATTTACATTTCTTTCCTCATTTAATTATAAAGTTTAGTGTATTCACTCCACAAATATTCAATGTGCCAGGCAGGTCATCAGGGAGGTAACACAGGCAACAACAAAAAAACGGTCCCACCCTTAAGGACTAGCAGGTGCAGATGAACAAGGACGGGGTAATTATTAATAAAACACAACGGAACAGGTGTCCCTTGAAGTGTTTGAAAAAAGTGTTGAGGGCCCAGAGAGAATCCAGCTGGCAAAGTCTGAGAAGGCTTCCAGGAGGAGGCTGGCAAGAGGAGGAGGCAATGCTGGAGCTTGGCCATAGAGAATAAGCAAGAATTTGGCAGACAAAGGAGAGAGAGCAGAGACTCTGCTGAAGCATCAAGCCCAAGGGGGGAACTGGGGGAGCAGGCAGAAGTGAGATCAGGAGGGATGGGCCCTGGGTGTCGGGCGCAGGAATTGGGTGGTGGGTGGCTGTGGATGGCAGTGACAGGTTCAGGTTTTCACTTAAGAAAGCTCACTCAGGATGCAGAGACGGGGATGGGTTCTGGCACAGGCCTGCACATAGGGACACTGGAGAGGAGGCCACTGTGATTTCGAGAGATGAGGTCTGACCTGGGTGGTGGCAGTGAGAAAGGCCTGGGTCTGATGTGTGGATCAGAGGGCAAAAATGGCCATCACAGTGATTGACTGGACTCACTGGGTGAAGCTGAGGAAGGGTGGAGTGCAACTCTTAGTGGAACATGGGGGAAAATCTACCAAAGGGAGGGAAGGGAAAGGGGGAGAAGGGTCAGATGAGATGCACTCAGCTTTGGACATGCACGGCACCCAGGTATAGAGGTCCAGGAGGGACCTGGCAACAAGTCCTGCCCTTGCCTATTTGGTCTCCCTGTCAACTGTACATGAAGCACTTTAGACACTCTGTGGCTTTGTGCTGGGACCTGATTTTCCGTGTTCTTGCAGGGGTAGCTGTGAGGTGGTCCATACCAGTCCTAAAACCTGCCAATCACGTTCCTGGCTGCAGCATGGGGGTGGGAGGGTGTGATCTCCTGGACTTCTCCACGTTGAGAGGATCCAGGATTTGGGATCAGGAAACTTCATTTGTGAGTCATCTGGGGGGAAAGGATTCTATCTTATGGAAACACCAACGATAAAAATCACTGATCTACCCAACTCAAAACACAAATCTACAATACTACATTTTCTCATTAACCCTCCTCATGGCAACTCTGTGAAACTTTCATTTCTTGAGGCCTTCCATACTGCTCATCATAATAGTAGCTAACATGTATTGGGCTCTGACCACATGCAGGCATTGTTCTAACCATTTTAGGTATATGAATTCATTTAGTCCTCATAAAATCCCTAAGAAGCAGGAATAATTTATAAACCTCATCTTATGGGGAAGGAAACAAGCTCAGAAAGGTTAAACAGCTTGCCTAAAATCATTTAGGAGTAGGATCTGAACCCAGGCAGACTGGCCTCAGCCCCACTTCTTGCCCTAACTAATCTTGTGTCAGATCCCTGGCTCTCTGCTTCCTTAGCAGAGGGCTACTCCCTCTCATTCCCAGCAGGAAGGTAAAGGCTTAATCATGAGAACCCTGGGTGTGTGGGCAGGTGGGCAGCCCATTGGGTACCTAGCTCGAGGTGCAGGGCAGGCCCATTCCCAGCCAGGGCGGCGTCAGGGGCAGCGGGAGGTGGCGGCGGGCTGTTGTGGAACTCCCAGCGCTTCATCTGTAGCTGCTGCAGCCAGTACAGCATCACTTGCTTGGTGGCGGCCTGAGGAGCACAAGGATTAGTTGGCAAGGCCCTGTGCCTGCATGGTGGCACTGGGTGTGGGAAGAGGGGAAGGTCGTGGGGGGCTTAGGAATGCTCTCTTTCCCAGAAAAAAAAAGGTCACTGTAGGTATGTCCCTGTCTCTGAAATACCACATGCTTCCTGGCCACAGAAAATCATCAGGCTCTGGTCTCCCACTCAGATCCTTAGCTTCTCTGGGCCTCAGTTTCCTCATCTGTACAATGGTGACAATAACACTCATTGCATAGGACAATGAGGATGCAATGAGACAAGGGCATCACACAGTATCTGACACACAGTAGGTGCTAAAACTGTGCTCACTTTGAGAGAGGAATTTGGAGGTGCTGTGAGAGAGGGGAGGTGCACTGAATTCTGATTTGAGCGGGGTCCTGGTACCATCATCATCTCCCAGGTGAGATGGTATCTCACCTGTGTGACATCTCCAAGTCTTTGCTGCCTTTTGTGGAATGGGGTTAAACCTTCTTGCCTTGGGGATGGACTGGTATCATGAATATGAATGGGAACTAGAAAGCCACATGCACATTGTTGATGGCATGGTGGCACCTTCCAGGTGCTCTGGCCCTCCAAACAAGTTCATGGTAAATGCTGGTCATCAGTCTCGCAGCACTGGCTGGTCCAAATACACGCTTTCACATACAATAACTCCCTGGATTCTCTAGGAGGGAGGCAAGGCAGGAGTGAGCAGCAGCTCTTTCTACAGATGGAGAAACTAGGGAGCTGAAGTCGCCCAGGCATGTGGTGGTAGAGCTGGTCTCAGAACCCAGACCTCCTACTTGCAGACCAGAACCCTGGTCTAAAAGTTGAATTTTATGGCCAGGAGATTCGTGGCTTCGTAAAGAAGGCCTGAGATCAGTTGAGGTGGGCTGCAGAAGATGGACAGCTCACAGGCATGGATGGGAATCTCACAGAGCTACCTGCAATCAAGGCCTCATGAGAACAGCAGCAGGCTACATGGCAACAGCGGCAAGCTCCCTGTTGCAAGGGTTCACTGGTGTGTACTATGCTGGGTGCGACTGTGAAAGAGAGAGACACTCAGGCTCTCATGCAGGTATCAGTAAGATAAATGATGCCCACCAGTGTTATCCTTCCACGCACTCTCCCAGAGAGACCGCAGCACCTCCCAGGTCTTCACCATGACCTTATTGCTGATGAGCCCCAGCCAAACCCAAATACCCCATTTTATTAATTCATTTGACCAGGGTATACTGAGCACTGACGTATGTGTCAGAGACAGTGCTAGGCACTGAATACAGAGGTGAGGCAACACACATGGTCCCTGTCCTTTTGGAACTTGAGAGTCTCCTATAGGGGACATGTACCTGGATGTTCCATGGCTCCTCATCCTGAGTTCCCTCCTGTCAGTGACTGATCCAACCAGGCAGTCAGCCAGTTACCCCAGCCACTCCTGACATCTCCCCCATTCTACTTCCCTACTATCCTGAGCCACCTCCATTGTCCCCCTCCCCACAGCCACAGCTCTGGTTCAGCTGTCACTCTCTCCTGATTACCAGCCTTGCCATTTCCCTAGTTTCTTCTCTACCTAATAGCCAGTCTGGGCTTTTGCTACTTGGCCTAACTCGCCAATGCCCCAACCTCCGGCCTCTGCTCTTCGACTGTATCCGTTGGGCCTCTCTTTCTGGTTTGTGCGATTTGCCTGGACACTCAGGGCTGTAACATGGTTTCCTACCTTTGCCCACGGTGCTCTCTTGGCCTGGAATACCTTTGTACCTTTGTACCTCTTGTCTGCTTGCCAAACATCTATTTCTTCTTTCAATCCTCGGGTATGTTCCTCCTCCTTTCTGGCTAGCTCCTTCTACTCAGTGGAACTGACAACTCCTGTCACCACACCTTCTTGCAGACTTATTGCAGTGTCTCTACAGAGCATCTTAGGGTGCATGCCAGTTTCTCTGTCAGTCTCTCCCACCAGATTTTAAGCTGTTTGAGAACTAGGGGCAGGGGTGCTTTAGCTCCACATCCCAGAGCCTAGTGCAGAGCCAGGACCAATGGAATAGTATTATAAAGACCATGTGTTGGGGACCTTGTATACAGCAGTCAACCTGTGGAAGAGACACACTGACCCAGGAAGCACATGACCTTGAAAATGCCTCCCCTGGCAAGGGATTCCTGAGTTTCATTATTTTAACAAAGTCCCCCAGCCTGGTCACCAGCCAAGCCCAGTCAGTAAAGGGGAACTGAATCCGCGGGCATCCATAGATACCCACTTAGCTGGAGGTGGGGTTGGAGGGGTGGAAAGATGGGGGTGGGGTGGGAAAGGCTATCTCCTGGCACATTCCTCTCTGATGTCCATAGAACACTTAGCCCAGATCTGTCTTTCCAATTAAGTTATGGGACACTTCCTCTTGACATGAGCACTCTGACCTTGGTTCCATCACCTTGTGTGTGCATGTATGTTTATTCAACAAAAAATTATTAAGTACCCCACTAGGTACCAGGCTGTATTCTAGGTGATGAAATTAATTCAACAATTTGTACATGCCTCTGATGTGTCAAATGCTTACAAACCACCTAGGTTCTGAGAGGTTAAGTAACTTGTCCAGGGTCACACAGCTAGTAGGTAGCAAACATACAATTTGAATCCAAGACCGTCTGATCTCAAAGAATGTGGCTTTTCTACTGCTTTAGGCTTTCTCAATTAAACATGATGATAAAACAAAACCTACTACTTGTGGCTGATAAAAAAACAGGTTTAGGCATGCTGAGTTGAACAATCTAGGCTGATCAGTGAAACCTGTGTTTATCTTCCTAATCCCTGCCAATCTCCTCAGCATTCACTACTCTTGGCCAAAACATCAAGAAAAGGATATCAGAATCCTGGCATTGACAGAGGATTGCAAAGACCATATTTTGACTTACTTAGGTCCCAGGTAAGAAAGTTAAGGTAACTGCACCGTCAGGCACACCCAAAAGTAAGTTTTGATTCAGCACTGAGAGGTAGAAAGACTACGGGATTCCAAGCTACTTCACTCTAGATGCACGACCTCGGGCCAGTCCCTTCATCTCCCTCTGACTCAGCTTCATCTGATACGTAAAATGGGTCTGTCCTCCCTGCCTTGTGGGAATCCAATTAGGAAATGGGTGTGAACGCAACTTGGAAAGCACAAACTTCTTAGAACACGTCGGTGACGACAGTTCCAGTCAATTCACTGTGTCCCACCACACACTCGCGCCCAGCCGTGCGCTGAGAAAAGGGGAACTCACGCGGCTGGGAAGGAAAGTCCTTCCAGGAACTTACCTTCAGGGTAATAGCCCGGCTGGGAGTCTCGATTTCGAAGATCCCCTCCTCAGCGTCCGCCTTGCAGTCAAACACTGCACTGGAGAGGTCGATGCTGTCCAAGGGATTAGCATCCTGCGCGGTCCGCGAGTAATACAGCTGACATTTCCTTTCGTCGTAGAAGAACCAGCGGGATTTCCAGCCCCGGATGGGCCCTTTGCCGCCAAACTTACTTAAATACCCACAGAGTTTCTTGGGGACCGCCTCCAGGGACCGGGCGCAGCCCCCCAGTTCTTCCTCCAGAGGCAGCGCCTGTGGGTCCCTCGCAGACTCTTCGGACCCGGGGGCGGAGGGGCTGGACTCAGAGGCGTTCTCCCCGGCGCCCTCCATCGCTGCCAGCCGGAGACCGCGGAGGGACGAGGGATCCGCGGGACCACCAGGGACAAATTTCGGAGACTCGGGGGGCACCTTCCCAAAGGGAGACACCTGGGCGGGGACGGAGCCGGCTGCGGACCCGCCCCCAGGGCGCCACAGAGTCGGGACTGGGCGCCGCGCGTGCGCCTCGAAAGGCGGCTGGCCACGCCCCCGCAGCCTGGTGTTGACTCCCCCCCAGGGCCCGGCGGCTTCCGGCTTTTTCTCCGCGCCTGTTAGCCATCTTTACTGAGGGCAGCCGTGCTGCCTGGCTTCCGGTTAAAGACTTGGTGGCACCGAGTTAGGTTAACCGCGGGCAAAGAAGCCTGTCCCTCAGTACACTTTCCTGGTAGTTCGCATAGTCACCTAGAAAGATGGTGCTTTCTTGCACCGGATGGGCCGCTCGTTCTCTCTCTGTGCTGCGTGGGGCACCGTCGGACGGCGCATCACGCGGCCATTGGCTGAAAGGAACGCCGCTGGGAGGGCCCTCTTCCGGCGCCACCCAGGCCCCGCGGCTCCGGAGCCCTGTCTGCGCCCCTTTTCCCCTGTGTTCCTTCAGCCCCCTCAGTGACACAGCGAATGGCCCTCTTGTCCCTCGCCTGACCGCGGTGGCCTCTCCAGCTTTCTGTCCTGGCTCCCATTCGCCTCCTGACAGCGCTGGTCGTTTTGCTTGGGGCGCCCAGGCGCGGCCGCTGCGCTGCGGAAACCCAGTGCCACTCCTGGGGCGTAGTTGGGTGCAGTACAAATAAACAATTGTTTATTTATATCTTGTTATTGCTATCTTTATTTTCAGAGACAGTCTGGCTCTGTCACCCATGCTGGAGTGCGGTAGCGCGATCAGAGCTCACTACGCGGACTCAAGCCATCCTACCGCCTCAGTCTCCCTAGTAGCTGGGATCACAGCTGCGCAAAACCACACCCGGCAGTTTTAAATTTTTTTTTTTTTTTGTAGGTGGGAGCGGGGTCTTGAACTCCCGGACTCAAGCGATTCTGCTGCCTCCGCCTCCCAAAGTGCTGGAATTACAGGCGAGAGCCACCGCGCCCGGCCGTTTTGTAAATAATTTAGGGTTTGACTGACTAGTTCAACTGCTGCCTCATTTTACCTGTCTCCCCTTAAACTTCTCCCTTTCCCTCCTAAGGCCATTTCTGCATTAGGGCTGCGGAGCCCAATTCCGTCTTTCTCATGCCCTTTGTTCAGCTCCTCCTCTTACTTCAGCGTCTTCCCCTCAGCCTTCTTTAACGTCGACCCTCGAGCGCACTCAGAGATATTGACGAGAAGCTGGTTGGGGGTAAAGGCTAGGGCTCTGTTTGCATAATTTTCTGTTGCATAATTTTCAGATTCCTACTATGCAATATTGAGTGATTTACTCATTCTAAAAATGGAGATAATAACACTTCTTCCCACCCACCCCAACCCGTCGCGAGACAACTTCACGGTGAAGCTAATGAAATTGATACTCACTTGCATGGGTCGCTGGGATTTGTAGTCTTAACAGGTGGGAAGGTGGCTGTAGTCTTACAGCCAGGAAGCATTTCTCCTAAATGCCAGAGAGCTCTTCATTTGTTATAATTTATTTTCTCATTCTAAATAAACATCGTCGTACCTAATTTTGTGTTCATCATTTTGTAAATTTTTTTTTTAATCAGAAGGCCCTCCATACTGTTTAATTGCAATCCCCACAAAACCTGGATCCACACCTGTCTACCCGTAGAGTTGCTTTGATAATTAAATAAAATAACACGTGAGGCTGGAGTACAACCGCGCAATCTTGGCTCACTGCAACCTCCGCCTCCCGGGTTCAAGCGATTCTCCTGCCTCAGCCTCCAGAGTAGCTGGAATAGTAGGCGCACTATCACACCCAGCTAATGTTTGTATTTTTAGTAGAGACAGGGTTTCACCATGTTGGCCAGGATGGTCTCCATCTCTTGACCTCGTGATCTGTCCACCTTGGCCTCCTAAAATGCTGGGATTACAGGCGTGAGCCACAGCTCCCAGCCCAATTTTTGTATTTTTAGTAGAGACAGAGTTTCACCATGTTGGTCAGGCTGGTCTCGAACTCCTGACCTCAGGTGATCCACCCATCTAGGCCCCCCCAAATGCTGGAATTACAGGCATGAGCTACCATGCCCGGGCCGTGGGACATAATACTTAATAAATGTTAACTGTAATTAAAGACCAATAAAGTACACCTCAAGGCAGAAAGCATTAAGCCACAAAGAGAATGGTAAATTATATAGTCGAGTTCATACCATTGAAAACTGGGAAATACTACAAGACTGCAATGGGAGATTTTAACACATCACTTTTAGCCTTTGTAAGATTTGCTAGAAAATAACAAAAAATAAAGATACAGAGACTCAAATGCCATAATAAGACTGACTTAATTAAGTACTGAAGAATATCTGGTCTTTTTATGTTCTAAGTCAAAAAGAAATTTTTGGTTTCAAAAAGCAGAATTTGTGCAAGTACTTTGGCCACAATGCATGAAAATTTGAAAATAATGTATAAAAGTAAACAACCAAATAATCTAACCTACTGGAAATAAAAACAACAAATTTCCGTTAAAACTATTGGGTAAAAGGAGACATAGAAGCTGCCATTATAAGCTGTTTCACGGGGGAGAGTGGAAGACAATAAGTGTACATATCAAAATTCAGCACTGAGTACTTAGTCACTGGAGTTATATGGACTCTGGTGTTAGAATTAAGCACTCAGTGCTGAATTTTGACATATACAGTTATTGTCTGTAATAATACAATATGGTGAAAGGATTGCTTGAGTCCATGAGGTCAAGCTTGCAGATTCAAACAATCCTCCCTGCTTAGCCTTAAGTCACTCAGTGCTGAGTGACTAAGCACAGCCAATGGATAAGTTATCTCTGACCTTGGATAAGTTATTTGACTTCTCTAACCTTCAGTTTTCTCATCTGTAAAATGATGATAGTAATAATACCTGCTTCATAGGCTTGAAGTGACGATTACAGAAAGCTTATAAAGCACTTACCATCATACCTGCAACATAGCAATCACTCGGTAAATGTTAGCTATTATGGGATGTGGCCAACGTTGTTCTCAGAGGAAATTTAATATCTTTAAATGTTTGTATTATTTAGTAAGAAAATAAAAAACATTCAACCAAATATCTTAGTGGAGGAGGGGGAACGAGAACTCAAAAAAAACCAAGAGGGAGGAATTAATAAAATAAAAGTTGAAAAACCCACTTGGATAACAGAAAATCATATAATTGACAAATAAATTCAAAATCAGATTACTGGGAAAAGAGCCATGAAATGAATCACTGGCAAACCTAGGCAGGAAATAAAAATGCAGAAAGTACATGCAAATACAACATTAGGACAAGGATAAGGCCATTACACAGGCCACTGGACAACATCATTATAGCTTTTTGTTGATGGGTTTGAAAATATTGGGCACTTTGCTCAGAAAATATAAACTTTGCTTGGAAATATAAAGCCAATATTGTCTTCAAAGTAATACCTGTAGATATAGTAACCATAACATAAAGCAGTTGTGAATAAACCATCTCAGAGGAGGTCCTGGGTCCAAGTATTTCAACAGATAAATCCGTCTTAGCTTCTAGCCACAGGTAGTTCCTATACTGTTAAATGGCATAGTTTAAATTTTTTCATTTTAAAAGAATGTTGACATTATAAATATTATCAAGTAAAATTTCAGCATTTCATAAGGAATTATATACTACACCTAGAAGGATTAATTTAAGGATGCAAAGATGTTTTAATAACAAAAAAATTTACATTTGTAGCTTAAAAAATAAAAGCATCCTAATAATTTCTAAAATGGTATTTGATCAAATCCCACACCCATTCCTGATTTTTAAAACCTCTTAATAAAACAAACAACATACATTATTTGTTCTAAATTTTCTAGCTAGGCAATGATAAATATTTGAAAGAATAATTGTATTACAAATATATTCTATATACCAAAAAAACTCAAGAGGTGGCCTATTTTTAAAAACTGTGTATGTGTATAGATGTCTTCAGCAGCAAATGGAAAATATAATGAGAAAAAAGGTGACAACATCCCTTACCTAAATGACTTACATAATGAATACCTTATTGCTTTAGAATATAAGACAAAACAAATATGTCCGTAAGTGGGAAGATTTAATATTGTAAAGATGCCATATTCCTCAAATTAATCCACACAGTTAATGCCTTTTCCATCAAACTCTCGAAAGGGTGTTTTTTTTTTTTTTTTTTTTTTGAGACAGAGTCTTGCTCTGTTACTCAGGCTGTAGTGCACGGGAGTGATCTCGCTCACTGCAACCTCTGCCTCCGGGGTCAAGCTATTCTCCTGCCTCAGCCTCCCTAGCAGCTTGGAATACAGGCACTTGGCATCATTCTCAGCTAATTTTTGTATTTTTAGTAGAGATAGGGTTTCACCATGTTGGCCAGGCTGGTCTTGAACTCCTGACCTCAAGTGATCCACCTACCTAGGACTCCCAAAGTCTGGCCTTGATAGGCTTTTAAAAAAAAATTTATTTTTGAATAGTTTTAGATTTAGAAAAAGTTACAAAGATAATGGGAGAATTTCTGTAGACCCTACACCCAGTTTCCCCTAATATTAACATTTTGCATAACCCTGGTATGTTTGGCAGAAATAAACATCTAGCATTGGCTCAAAACTATTGATGAAACTACAGACTTTATTTGGATTTTGTCCGTTTTTCCACTAATAGCTTTTTTCTGTTCCAAGATCCAATTCAAGTTTCCACAATTAGTCGTCATGTTTCCTTAGTCCCCTCTGCACTGTTACATGTTTCAGTTTTTCCCTGTTTTTCATGATCATGACAGTTTGAGACTACTAGTCAGGTGTTTTGTAGATTACTCTCATTTTGGGTTTGTCTTATGATTTCACTGAGGTTATATTTTGAGGGAGACTACCACAGAGGTGAAGTGCCTGTCCCATCACATAACATCAGAGTACGTGATATCTACATGGTCCCTATACTGTTAAGTGGTGTAGTTTAAATTTTCTCATTTTATTTTTATAAGATGGGGTTTCACCATGATGGCCAGGCTGGTCTTGAACTGCTGACCTCAAGTGATCCACCCACCTCGGCCTCCCAAAGTGCTAGGATTACAGGCGTGAGCCACCACACCCGGCCTTATTTTATTTTTTTGAGACAGAGTCTTGTTCTCTTGTCCAGGCTAGAGTGAAGTGGCACAATCTTGGCTCACTGTAGTCTCTGCCTCCCAGGTTCAAGTGATTCTCTTGCAGCGGCCTTCAAATAGCTAGGATTACAGGCTAGTTTTTCTTTATTTTTAGCAGAGATGGGGTTTCACCATGTTGGCCAGGTTGGTCTTGAACTCCTGACCTCAGGTGATCCACCCACCTCGGCCTCCCAAAGTGCTGGGATTACAGGCGTGAGCCACCGAACCTGGCCTAAATTTTCTCATTTTAAAAGGATGTTAAGGCTAGGCGTGGTGGTTTTAGTAACAAGAAATGTTAATCGTAATCACCTGGATGAGGTAGTGTTTGCCAGATTTCTTTGCTATAAAGTTACTGTTTTTACTTTCAATACGCTAGTCTTTGGAATTGGATTGCTAAATTGGATAGCTCCAGCTCCTGGAGGAGTTGATAAGAATTTTTTCAGCCTATTAAAATGATTTTTACATTCTCTTTCTTTCCTTCCTGTCTTCCCCCTTTCCCTTTCCTTCCTTCCTTCTTTCTCCATCTCTCTCTCTTTTCTTTTTCTTTCTTTCCTTTCTCTTTCTTTCTCTCCCTCCCTCCCTTTCTTTCTCTCTCTCTCTTTCGCTCTTTCTTTCTTCTTTGACAGGGTCTTGCTCTGTTGCCCAGGCGGGCTGAAGTGCAGTGGTGCAATCACAGCTCACTACAAACCTG